TTTATCTGTGTTTGCTTTGTAGTGGCGTGGTTTCTATGAGAGGTGATCTGTTTCACCCCCAGTGTACTCCCTTCTCAGTTTGTTGAGTTGTCTTTCCAGTAACTTGAGGCCTCTCTATTGGTCTCTATTCCCCTTTTGTATAGTGTTCTTGCTTTTTCTTCATGATTACATATTGGATGAACTTGTCCTCCACAGATGTGTGCACTGTGCACACAAATTGATGCAGAAGAACATCCCAATGACCATCTCCTCTCTTTAATATCAGGCCATTATTATTACATATTGTGATGTTTAACTGTCTTTCTTCCTTCCCCTTCTCTCCTTTCCCTCTACCCCACTTCCATGAATGGATGCCACAAAAGGGTCTGTTGAGTGCGATTTCACGCACTGTTTTATGCGGAACTGTCCCAATTTAAGTGCCCAAGAGTCATTCCCATCATAACTATATTTTTTTGTTTACTTTTAATGGTTTTTCTGTTCATTATTTTACGTTCGTATAATTGAGTCTGTTGGCACGTTGTGGTAAATATGCTATTGTTTTTGAATCCATTCTTTATTTATTTTGTTTGGATATTGTTTTGTTTGCTTTGTTGTATTATTAATATTTTTATTTTTCTCTTTTTGTTTTTTTTTGTTTTTTATTTTTTTGTTGTTTTTGTTTTGAAAAAGAAGAGTTAGAGGCGTTAAACCAACGTAACTGTTATACTCTGCCGAAGTATGGCCGCGCGTAATTTGTCAACGGGGAGTTCGTACTACCTGCCATCTCCAATGATGCGTTCTTTGGATGCTGGAGAGAGTGTGAAGTTTATTGTAGTGACCGGTGGCGTCTGCAGCTCACTTGGGAAGGGCGTTACGACCTCTGCAACAGGTGCACTTCTTCGTGCCCAGGGCTACCGCGTTTGTAGCATCAAGATTGATCCATATATTAATATGGATGCTGGATTAATGAGTCCCTATGAACATGGAGAGGTGTATGTTCTTGAGGATGGAGGTGAGGTGGACCTTGATCTTGGAAATTATGAACGTTGGATGTCAGTGCACTTGAGGCGAGATCACAATATTACAACTGGAAAAGTTTTCCAAAAATTAATTTCAAAGGAGCGATCTGGTGGATTTTTGGGGAAGACAGTGCAGTTGGTGCCTCACTTTACAAATGAGGTTGTGGATCAAATCTTTGAAGTTTGTCAAGAGGCGGTTTGTGAAGGTGGAAAGCGTCCTGAAATCTGTTTGATTGAGCTCGGTGGAACTGTGGGAGATATGGAGTCACAACCCTTTGTGGAAGCTCTTCGCCGTCTTCGTTACTCTATTCCTCCACAAGACTTTTGCCTAATGCACACAACATATCTTCCTGTGTTTGGTGGATCCCAGAAGACAAAGCCGACGCAACACAGTTCTCGTACATTACTTTCCCTTGGTCTTCAACCAGATTTCTTGATATGCCGCAGTGAAGAACGCCTTGCAAAAGAAGTAAGGGAAAAGTTAAGCAATCAGTGTGGTGTTCAGTTGTGCGATATTATTGGAGCACCCAATGTAGATTGTCTTTACGATATTCCTGTGGAATTCACGAATGAAGGATTAATTAACCGTATACTGCACAAACTTCGATTATCCCCTAAAGTACCACCTTTGGATGTACCTACTTATGATACATTTGTTAAGTACACAAAAATTCTTCGTGATATGTCAAACCCTGTTGTACGAATTGCTTTTGTGGGTAAGTATGTTGGAGGTGGTGGAGACGCTTATTTCTCAGTTCTTCAGTGCTTTGAACACTGCCAAATTGCCCTTGGTGTAAGACTTGACATTTTGTACATTGAATCCGAAGATCTAGAAGGCCCTAACGCCGATGAAGCTAAACAAGCAATTCTTGAATGCGATGGTATATTTGTCCCTGGTGGTTTTGGAGTTCGTGGAGTGGATGGCAAATGTATTGCTGTTGAATTGGCGCGAACACACAATATTCCCTACTTTGGTGTTTGCCTTGGCATGCAGGTGGCCCTCATTGAGTACTGCCGCAATGTCCTTGGCTGGAAAGATGCAAACAGTGAAGAGTTCAACCCCTCAAGCACCCACCAAATCGTACGTATCATGGACTGCGATCGCACGAGCATGGGAGCCAACATGCACCTTGGCGCCCGAGCGGTGCACATTGTGGAGCCGTCCTCGCGTCTCTCGAAGATTTACTCCGGCGCGCCCGTTGTGGTGGAGCGGCACCGCCACCGCTACGAGGTGAACACAACGTACGTGGAGAACCTGCGATCGGCCGGCGTGGTGATCAGCGGCGTGTCGGACCCGCAGTTCGGACCGCAGTGCCGCGTCGAGGCGGTGGAGCTCCCCGCCAACCGCTTCTTCCTCGCCGTGCAGTACCACCCGGAGTTCGTCTCCTCCCCGATGGACCCCTCCCCGCCGTACGTCGCCTTCATGGCGGCAGCCGCGCGGAAGGAGTACACGTGGCCAGAAACCTGCGCAGCGCGAAGGGTAAAGGTCCCAACCGTGTTAACACACAGAGAAGTCGTCTCCAAGTAAAGCGGTGGAAGGAAGGAAGGAAGGAAGGAAAGAATGAGGCGAAAAAGGTGGTTGGGGAGGACAAGAGAAGATTGTGTTAAGGTTATGTGATCATGGAGAGGAAAGGAGGGAGTCGATCACAAGAAATAGAGGAGGAAAAAAAAGAGAAGGAAATGAAAACCACGTGAAAATAAAGAGTAAAAGAAGAAATTCTCTACTGAGAGAGAAAAAGAGAGAGATAGAGAGAGAGAGGACAGTATTCCAAGGAAGACACAATTGTTACCTTCGTGAATGCGTTGTTGAAGAAAAGTAGTTTGGTCAGAGGCAATCTTCTAAAGGTAAGCCATTGAAAAAAAAAAGAATTGATACCGCTGCGCGTTTAAGACCATAGACAAGAGCATTAGCATTTACAACAGCAACAACAAAAAAAAAAAACTATGGACTAATGGTGAATTTTTTCTCCCGTGTTACTTCTATTTCCCGCACGCTGAAACCGCTTCATCCATAATGGGATGGGTGACAAGAGAGGGGAAGCAGTGTGTTGAGAGGAAAAGAAAAGAAAAACGTACCAAAGAAGAACAAAGAAAAAAAAAAATATATAGTTGTTAATTAAAAGGCGAAAATGGAGAATAAAAGGATTTCACGCTAAATAAAAAAGGTAACGAAAAAAAAAAAACAAAAAAAAAAACAATATATACATATATATATATATATATATATATATATATATATATTTGTGTATATATATATTTTAAAAAAGAACCAAAACAAAGTAAAAAAAAAAAAAAACAATTTTTAATGTCTTGGGGAAAGCACGTGTATCAGTGACTCCTTTTCGGTTTCATGCTTTAAGTAAAGGTGATGCAGCAGGGGCGCAGATATGTCGTGCAGAAAGAAACATATCCACACGTATGCATGCATACAGACTCTTTATGATACTTTAGTTAATTTACCCCTCGTACTTCAACGATAAATAACAAGAATGAAGGAAAGAATAAAGAAGCAAGATAAATTAACCAATAAAAAGTGAGATAGAATGCGGTATCGAGTAACTACTGAGTTTTGGGTATTCTGCATTCTCCATCCTCTTGGTCTATATATACTTCTTCTTTTTTTCTTTTACCTTTTCTCTGATATATTCACATAACAGGGTACCTCCCCTTTTTCGTGTTTTTCCTTTTTACATAAAAAAAAATATATACAAAGAAGCGGATAAAAAATATACCTACCTACTTATCTACAAATATATATATATATATATATATATACTCATCTACACCGGATCACATTCTTAATTGTATTTATTTTGTTTCTATTTTTAAAATAGAGACGTGATAATAAAATAAAATAAAAAGGTCAGTTCATTTCATTAATGCAGGAGCAAAAAAGAAGTGCCAATGCAGTTGCAATCATGGATGGAGCAATGGGAACTTTACTGGAGGATTATGGAGTAGATATGGATAAGGCAAGTCCCATGTGGTCATCCACTGTTCTTCTTTCGAACCCAGAATTGGTTCAACGTGCTCATCAGGCTTATATAGATGCAGGTTGTGATGTGCTACTTACATGCACGTACCAAATGTTTGAGGAAGGATGCACAGCATCAGGAGTAACGATGTCTGATTTAGTCGATTCCGCAGTTAAGGTCGCACGTCTTAGAATGCCATTACGAAAGAAAGAGGTGAATTTAAAATTAAATAATAAATGGAGTAATACTTTAACTGGTCCATCACATATTTTTGCCCCTTTATTTTCTTCTTTAGAAGATCCATCAGAAAGATATGTTTTGTTAGCTGGTAGTTTGGGTCCATATGGTTGTTCTTTTCCAGGAGGTCACGAATATCGTGGTGATTATGAAGTGAATGATTCTCTTATTGATACATTTCATGGTGGACGATTATTATCTTTTGTGGGAGAATCAGGTGAAAAAGCTTTTCTTAAGGTGGACTTTTTGATTTTGGAAACTTTTCCTAAACTGGATGAGGCAGTAAAGGTATTGTTGTGGATGCAGCAGCAGAAGGAGTTTCCAAACAAAATTCTCGCTACAGCGCCGGTATGTTTAAGCTTTGTCTCTGCTCCCATAGAGTCATTCTTTCCAGAAGACGGTGATGATAAGGCGTTAAGTGAATGGTGGGAATTACAAGAATCACAATCACGTCTTCCAGATGGTAATACGTTTGAAGATGCACTCATTAAACTTCAAAAATGTAATGCACTTGGATTGGCGGGTATTGGTTGTAATTGTTCTCTTCCACTTGAAGTAAGTTTTATGGCCAGTGTCATGTTGAAAAAGAAACGTCTTGATAAGGAAAATCCTCTTGCCTTACTTATTTACCCAAACTCAGGTGAGTTTTTTGGAAATGGAGAGTGGTATTATAAAAAGGAGATCAAAAAAGATTTATTAATGGGATTAGGAAAAGAAGAAGTTGATTCCATACAGACACTTAAAAGAAAACTGGCAACGGGCCATGGTGATATCTGCACTTCCTTACAGTTTATTTTACAGCTTCTGCATCAGCGAGATGAGACGGAAGATTGGTTATTCAAAGTGATTTTGTATGGAGGTTGCTGTCGTTCCACACCGGAAGACACTACAGCACTAAAGCGTGTGTGTTTGGGTTCTTGATTTCTCTTATTTGTCTGGTTTTTTTTCTTTTCTTTTTTTTTTATTTTCTTTTTTTTTTCTTTTTTTTAACTTATGAACTGCCATTTTTTTTTTTTTTTTTTTTTTTGAAGTTGATGGGTCTTTCAATGTGCATTGAATTTTCTTAAAGGGCCTGAAGGGTTGACGGTGAGTACACGTTCCCTCAGTGGTACTCAGTCCTTTTTTTTTTTGTTTTTTCTTTCCCTTTTACCCTGATCCTTATATTTTCTTTGGCGGTTCTTGAGTTTTTATTAATCTAATTATTATTATTATTATTATTATTATTATTATTATTATTAGTTCTTTTTGAACGACCGCGTAAAGAAAAAAAAAAAAAAGAAAAACTTTTTAACTTGGAAGTGAGGTCGGGGGTGTTTCTCTGTTCTTGTATCTTTCTTCTTATTTTTCGAGGAATATACTCTTTTCTCATACACTTTTTTTTTTTTTTTACTTTGTATCTGCCTCCTTATCTTTATCTCCACTTTATTATTATTATTATTATTATTATTATTATTGGAATATTGCTTTCTATCTTTAAAGGCTTGAAGGGAGAAATCATGCTACAGATTTTTGAACAAGTAAAGGATGTTTGCCAGCAGCGTCGTGAGTGTTTTGCCCGTAGTGAAAAGGAAAAAGAAAAAGAAAAAGAGGCACATCTGCATAATATAAGAGGAATAAAAGAAACAAACACAACAACAACAATAATAATACCTTCACTTACTTTCTTACTTCGTCGTCTTCGCAGGGCTGCGGCTGCGGGATCTCCACATAAAGAGACTTCGCATGTGTGGCCAAAGCCGTTTCTCTATCCAACACCAGACGGGACTCTTCACTCCGCAACTTCACCGCACAAACGCATACATAGGACGACATCTCCTTTAGCCTCGCAGACAGGAATATTAACAACAGATGGACCACAAGAATGGAAAGGAGAGAGGCATTCACCACCCATGCCAACAACAACAACAACAACAACAATTGGAGTTAACAATAAAGAAGAAGAAGAAAGTGAGAAAGAAAAAGAAAATGTAAAAGAGGAATCGGTTGACTATTGTACTCGAATTGCAGTGGAGCGTGGACTGGTGTCAGTACTCATCAGTGTGTGCTCTGCCACTACAGTTGAAGGTGAAAAGGAGGCGGGAGATGTTTTCACACTGCAGGAACGTGTAGAGGCACTGCATACACTTGTGTTTATAATGTGTTATGCCTGTGGAGTGCGGGGTGATGATGGTTCAATTATTTGTAAGATTGATTTGCTGCAACTCTCTGCTACTGCATGCGATATATTAAAACGGGTTCTGGAGCAAGTGATGTCTAATAATGAGCAAGAGAAAAAAAATACAACTGGAAGTAAGAGAAGAGAACTTGTGGAAACATTTGCTTCTATCTCTAATACGATTGTTATGTTGCTTGGCTGTAGAGATCCACGTCACTGGGAGTGTGATGAGGAAGAGGAAGAGGAAAGAATAGATCCAGTGGAGTCTCATAGTCATGCCTCTTCACATCCAATGAGTTTTTGGCAACGGTTTACAAGTGAAGAAAGTATTGATGGTTGTTGTTTGTGCTGTGGGGCTGGTCCACTTTCATATCAGTTTATGATGACTGCACTTACGGAGAATGGATTGTGGCAGTATATGTGGCGTTTTGTTGCTTTTCCCTTTTTAATACAGGCTTCTCAGGAAAAGAATGGAATTCAACAACAACAACAACAACAACAAGAAAGTGATGGTGATGATGATAAGTATAATAATAATGATAATGATGGAATAGAGATGGGGAATGGAGAGAATGATTTTACACAGTATTGTAATACTGTACGTATTCTTGGAGTTCGATTAACATTAAAGATGATGACATTATTACTTTTACGAGGTTCAGTGGCTGAAGAACATGATCTCGCGAGTATACTTTGTTGCCCAACCGTACAGGAAGAGGAGGAACTGGAGACTATGTGGAGTAAAACACTTATACCGTCTCGTAGAGAAAATCCCCATCGTCAGCTATCTACATTAGAAAAACGTACGATATTTACATTACAACAAATCTCAGGTTTTCTGGTATTTCGTCGACTTTCTTGCTATGCAGCAAATGCAATGCATATTCTTTTAACACGTTTATATCCGCAACAACTACCAATATCAGATATTAATATGCGAGTTGTTTTTGAAGCTCTCTTCTTCTTAAAAGAACCATTACCATTACCCATTCCAACTCCCATCTATGGTAGTACATCTCCTGAAGAAAAACATAATGATAAGGAAGAGAATACGGTTTTTTATATGAATCAGTCGACTGTAGAGATAACAGCATCTCTCATGCTTGGCCGTTTACTTCATGTATTGTCTTTTCATCTTGAATTTTACCGCGATGAGTGGTGTGAAACTGTGAAAAAGAAGAGACATAATGGTCGCTATGCAGGCCGTACATTAACGCCTACTACCAGTCATGTACTTTGTATTGCAGGAGCGCTACTCTCTATAGTGTTGCTATTAGACCAACAACAACAACAACAAGAAAAAGAAAAAGAAGAAAAAGAAAAAGAAAAAGAAGAAAAAGAAAACGAAGAGCATCAGGGGTGTAGTGGTCTTCTCTCGTTAGAGCAGGCGATGGGTCGGCATACAACGTATAAGGCATGTGAACATTCACCATTACTGCCGGCTGCACTCTCGGCGGGACTCAGTCGCACACATCAAGTACTTCTCCTCTTCCGCACTCTAGCCACTATACACATACAAACACCCATACACACTCATACACGTCATCGTGGTCATTCCACACATACACATATAAATAATACTACTACTACATATATAAACACATTACCATGCATACACACACTTCGACTGACTGGTCCATACATAATGGCATTTTCACAGTTAGTGCGTCCGAATGCCCCGCCGCCCCCATCGTTGCGGTGGAGACAATTGAGAGCGGATGAGTGGGCAGAGACAATGACGGCAACCGTGCGGGGAACAGCAGCAGTATCCACAGCGTCCACAGTGGAACGCCGAAGGAAATCCCAAACGAGTTTGTCATGCACGTTAACATGTCCATTACGTCTCTTGTGTCTGGAGGAACATGATAATCTTCAGAAAAGTGCAAGAGAAAGATTAAAAGTATACAATGAAGGTGAAGGTGAAGGTGAAGAATATAAATACCAACAACAACAACAACAAAAAGGATCTGATAAGAGTTCTGGAAATGATGGTCTTCAACCATTGCAGGTGTATGTGAAAATTCCCCGTGCAGCAGGTGGTACGGTACATACAGATAATATCAATAAGACAGGTGTTAATAACTATGAAAATGGTGCGGGTGTTTCTACCAAAACGGAATCTATTCAATCAGTGGAGTCTTTCCCACCAATGTTTTTTGGATATGAGTCTGTTTCCTTCAGTAATCGTAGACGTAGTAGTGGTGGAGTGAATACTGGTATACGTAGTCATCATGGTAATGCTGTTGGCGATAGTAGTGTTAATGTTAATGGTACTGTAGTGACTTCGGTGAATGAAAGTATGAGAAATATAATTTCTTTACCATTAAAAAAAATGTCAAGTGAGGTGAAAACTTTATTTGTAAATCGTGATGGAGAAGAGTATGCAAGGGTAATGCATAACATTCCATGTTTCTCATCCCTCAAACGTGAGAAAGTGGAATATGTGGCTAGTGCGGAAATAACTATTGTAGCCCCATTAGAGAAATCTAAACAAAGTAATAATGAAGAAGAAAAAGAAAAAAAGATGGAGGAGGAGGAGGTATGTCCTTTTAATATGGTTATTATCGCTTCTTGTACAGTTTATGGAGATGAACTTTATCTTTACTCTCAACCACCGCAAAGGTCTACTATGATGTTATCTTGCGAAGAAGAAGAAGAAAGAGAAGAAGAAAAAAACTCTTCTCAACGATCTAATAAAAAGGAATCCGTGGGAGGAAGAAGAAAGAAACATGATAAATCAAAAACAAAACAAGAAAATACATTATATTCAAAAAATTCCAAATTTGGACCAACTATGATTTGCAGTGTCTCTCGTTTCGAATCTTCTAACATCATAACAGCACGGAGTTCTTCTCCAGAGAGACTCTTCACTATGGATGAAGGAGGGATCATATCATCACGGAAGAATGATAAACAGGGTGTCAATAATAATAATAATAATAATAATAATAATAATAATAATAATAATAATAATAATAATAATAATAATAAAGATACCTCACAGAAGAAAGAAGACCCTCTTCTTAATAGTAACGAAAATGAATACGATGAGATGAATGATATTGATGCCTATATAGCTGGCATAGAACCAACGGTTGTGGTAGATATTGCCCTCACCCGCAAAGATCATGAAATCCAATCCCTGCAAGAACAACTGGCGCAAGTGCGAGAGAGTGAGGCGGAACTCAAACGTCAACTGCAAGAAGTATTAACACAACGCGAGACTTTGGTGACGACACTCACAGACACTCGAGCGGAACTGCGGCTTTGGCACACAGACGTCGTCGCACCGCTGCGGCGGGAAGTGACGCTCCTGCGAAGATCACTCGTGCGGCGTAATGCGGAGACAAGTGCGGCCGTCTCGCTCTGCCGTTCACTGCGGGATGAACACACGGCACTCACATCCACGATTCACGCACTTCGTGAAGAGATGCGGGGTTTGGTGGAAATAGTAGAGAAGAAGAAGAACAACAACAGAGAAGAAACAGGAAGAGAGTTATAGTTATAGTTGAAGAGTGAAAGAGAGAGAGAGTGTGTGTGTGTGTGCGCATGGTGAAGTGTGGTGTAGTTTGGTGTAGTTTAGTGTTGTTTTCGCATAATTTATCGTGATTGTGACTGTGATTATCGTTTTTTTTATTTATTTATTTATTTTCCGTATCGTTTTTTTTCTTTCCTGCGGTGTCTCTCTGTGTGTGTGTGTGTGGAGTTTTATATTTCTTGTATCACTTTAATTGTGTCTATCGGTTTCCAAAAGCATGCATTACTGAAATATATATATATTTATATCAAGCCTGTGCTTTGGCTTCTCTCAGGCTGTAAATATAAATATGAGTTAAAAGAATTTCTTCAGAGGAATTTTCCCCTGAATAATATTTTTTTAAGTATTAGTGGGGAAATGGTTTACTGCATACTTGTTTATTTATGAATAGTAGTAACTCAATGGACTTGTTTTTTTTTTTTTTTTTTTTTCTCTCTCTCTCTCTCTCTCTCTATATATATATATATATATATATATATATATGACTCTCTTTATCTGGTAGGGGCAGCTTTTGGAAGTTGCTGCTTAAAATAGAAAAGCATCACAAAGGGAAAGTTTATGGTTGAAATAGTCTCTGATGATTACTTTCCTCCTGAAGAAGATGACATTGATGAATCATTATCATCATCATCATTAGGTGGAGAGGTAGAAACAGTATCTGTGGGAGGTAAATCTCAATTCTTCTCTTGGTTATTTCCAACAACATATTCACGTCCCTTTAATTTGACTACCACAGTGAATGAAACTCTTTTAGAGTCTGTGAATGCCGTGCGGACTTTGATGGAAAGTGGAAACTTGGAAGCCGCCTGTTATCTCGTTGAGGAGCGGCAACTCGATATTAGTTTAACAGCAGTGAATACCACGCTGCTGGTGAGTACGACGAATATTCTGTTGAATCTACTTGTGGCACCTGTGTATGCTTTTGTTTCATCGCATCTACGCGGAGACTTATTGACTTTTCCCGGTGTAGTAACACAGACCTTGTACACTAGTGGTAGTATTAGTATTAATAATAGTAATAATATTAATAATGTTAATAGTGTTAATAATATTAATAACAGTGGATTATTAACGTATCATAATGCCACTACTACTACTACTACTTTAACGAACTCCCAAGCGAGTGGTGCTGCAGTGGAATCGCCATCTCTTACTCTCTTTTGGTTCGGAATGTCATCCACCACGGATGCGTGGAAGGGTTATGCAGAGATGATAATGTTTCTTGTGTGTGTGGGACTCTTCATATTACTTCTTCTTGTGCGCTTCCGGTTTGCGAAGTATTTCCGTGGTATTGATATGTACACTTCACAGAAACACCAATCTACTCACACTGCTGCTGATGCTGATGCTGATGCTGCTGCTGTTGTGCCACCATTACATTTGGGGAGTAAGCAAAGTAATAATATGGAGGATTCCTTCCTGTTAACATCACAAGAAGGGAATGAACAGCACTCCGTACAACAGAGATTACCTCTTTTATTAGATAATTGCGATGAAGATACGTGCAAAAGTCCTCCACGGCTTTCCTTTACTATGTAAAGGGAATATATATATATATATATATATAAGAAAGACGTTGGGGTGATTTTCTTTGGGTTTGAGGAGAGAGAGAGATAGATAGAGAGGGTGAAAGAAAAAAAGAATGAAGAAACGTAAAGATGAAAACTGTCAGAATTAAAGCAGTTACAAAAATTCGTCATAAAATTTGATTTGCAAGTGGATAAGATTTTTTTTTTCTTTAACGATTGCTAAACTTCAAAAAATTCTTTTTTTTTTATTTATCTTCGTATTTGCTTCTATTTTCTCTGAGTTATATCCTTCTATTTGCTCTTTTTTTTTTATCAAGATCGTCTCTTTTTTTTCTTGTTGTTGTTGTGGTACGTATATGATTGTGGGAGTTGTATTTATGTATGAATGAAGGCGGTGATGGAGCTCACATTGGAGGGATAATAACACAAAAGGACATTTAAATAAGCAAAAAAAAAGAAGAAAACACTCATTGAAAGATCTTTGTGGACTGTCCCCTTATTTTTTATTTATTTATTTATTTATTTCGTATATATATATATATTTTTTTTTCTCCTCCTCTTCCTTCTTATTTCCCTTTAAGAGCTTTGTGTCGCCATTCTATTCCTAGTCTCTAGAAGCACACATACTCATACTCACACATACATTATATATATATATATATATATTAAATATTATATTAGTTAGATAGGTTGATATCCATATACGAGGGAAATGCCACTATTGTTGTTGGCTCTCGCGCGGATTGTCGGCTTTGTCGTGCTGCTCATAGCGTTATTGTGTGTAAAGAAAACACGACTGCGGCATTTACCATCACGTCGTACTCGCGTGTCCCGCCACCACGGCGAAACGTGTGTGTGGCTTGAGCGTCTCACAAGTGCCATACTGGATATGCTGCACGATGCCATTCAACAACAGCAACAACAACAACAAGAAAAACAACAAGAAGGAGAAGAAGGGGATGATGTGGATATAGAAGATACGCAACAATGTTTGCGGGGATGTACGTTCTCGTCATTAGATTCCATGGGAACAACCCCGATTCGGGGGAATGTTATGAGTGGTAGTAGTACTACTACTACTAATAATAATAATAATAATAATAATAATAATAACAGCAAGAATAAGAGTAAGAATGTTGTTAATAATAATAGTATGAACAGTAGCAACACCAATGGTTTTAGCTGTGAAGAAAATGGTCTTGGTTCAATGGGGATGCCCTCTCGTTTTTTAGAGATGTTTGAAGAACGTGTAGAAGCTATACTGGAGGATCGTGGTATTGCGGCTTCTGCAAAGTGTAAGGTACACTCAATAGGAGAGAAGCCGCCCACTATACGATCTATCCGAATAACAAATCTAACTGGAACTGGATCTTCAACGAATATACCCGCCGCTGGCTCTGCAGGAGTTTCTACTACGGTTGGTGGTGGTACGAGTGGTAGTGGTGTTGGTGTTGGGAATAGTGCGGCCGGTGGTAATATGGGAGTAGTGGGTGTAAATAATAACAATAATAACAATAGTAATAATAATAACGCTACGGCAGCATCTCTTAAAGGGAAAACTCGACTTCCCCCCGGCAATGTATATATCTCTACTGGTATAGGAAATAGTGTTAGTGGAAGTAGTGCTGCTGCTGTTGGTGTTGTTGGTGGGGTCTCGGCTTCTGTAGATGATGTGATGGAGATGTGGCGTAGTGATTCCTTTGCGGAGGACTCCGTTGGCGGCGCCGCGCTGCTCGCCTCTGCGGTGGAGTTGGAGGCGGAAGTGGAGTACGCGGGCGGAGTGGATGTGTCTTTAGATGCCGATTTGTGTTTGGCGCGGGGGAGACGATTGCCCGTCTCTATTCGTGTGAGTGATGTTAAATACATGAAGGCACATGTACGTGTGTGTGCGAAACTGCAGTATGAACGGGCTACGATGGATAGTCAACGAAGACCATACTTGCAGTGTACACTATGGTTAGAGTCGGAACCAACCTTTTCGCTTCAACTCACTACTTTTATTAGTCGTTATCGTATTTGCAATTTCTTTGCTGTGCCGCTGGTTATTAAATTTCTTCTCTTGCGATTTCTACGGCATCGTCTCCTGCGGCCGGCCGGTGCTGGTCTGACTGTTAACATCCCGCTGCCGGAGAATGTTGTCGATGGCGGCATGCAGTCGTGGTGTGCGGCGGTGAATGATGCCGCCACAACCGTCGCGGGGTCTGTGAGTGCACATACGATTGGGATTCCACGTGGGGCTAGAGTGTGATGATGTGTATGTGTGTGTGTGTGAGTGTATATATATATATATATATATATATAGAGAGAGAGAGAGAGGGAAAGGTCTCTTGGTGTTTCTCTTTACACGTATCTGTGCGTATTTATATGGTGTTTTTTTTTTTTTTTTTTTTCTCAATCGACAGTCTTTGTAGTGTCTACATTATATTATAATAGTTAGTGTGTGTGTGTGTGTTTCTTTGTTTGTACTTGATGTGTACGGGAAAGAAGTATATATCCCCAGTAAGAAGAACACAAACTAGATGGAGAGAGCGTTATCTGCCCGTGCGTTTCGAATTAACATTAGATTTTTTATTCTTTATATATATATATATATATATATATAATGAGATGCTTTCTCTTTGTACTTGTATGCTGATTATTTCTCTTTTCTTCAATATACTTTTCTTCTCTATTTCATGTTTTTTTTTTTCTTCTTTATTGGGGTGTATTATCCAATACATTAGTCTTTGGTAGTTTACACATACATTCAGTTAAAAAAAAAAAAGAAAAGGGGGAAAACAAGCCAATCAAAAGGAAAGATTATTTAAAGTAAAGGAGTGATATAGGAGTCTCTCGTCTTGCTGTTATTATTATTGTTCTTGTTGTTATATTCCTATTTGCCTGTTTGTTTCTTTGTATTATTTCTCTGTTTTTTGTGGGTTTCACTATACTGTAATATTTCACACATATTTCTTAATTCCATACATCATTATCATTATCATCACATTGGTGTTAACCGCAAACAAAGAGAGAAAAAAAAAGATGAATGTAGCCAAGCGAAAGTTTATTAAAGATATGATGTCGCACTACCGTGCATCCCAACCACCTGCAGATCATCAAGAGATTTTGAAAGATTTACAGGAACGTGTATTAGACATTGGTATGCGTTCTGTTAATAAGGCACATGTGGAGCTTTTCGGTTCTCACGTGAGTGGATTCTGCAAGCCTACATCAGATGCTGATCTCTCTCTAACGTATCGTAATTTCTCACCATGGCTGCAAGGATTAGAACGTGTGGATGATCAGAATAATAAACGAATGACACGTTTCTCAAAAGAGGCGGCAGAAATGGGAATGGAGGATGTTCGTTATATTCGTGCACGTATTCCAGTTGTGCAATTTACCGATAGTCTTACTGGATTACACTGTGATGTGAGTATTGGTAATGTAGGAGGTGTGGAAAACTCAAAGATTCTTGCGGCTATTCGAGGTATATTTCCTGATTTCTATCGAGCGTATATTCATCTTGTGAAGGAGTGGGGAAAGGCACGTGAGGTGATTGCCCCTGAACGTTCAACTTTTAATAGTTTTACTGTTACCACCATGGCATTAATGGTTCTTCAGGAATTAGGATTACTGCCTGTCTTTTCCTCTCCCACAGGGGAATTTGGTCAACTCACATTACCAGATGTAGAGAAACAGTTAGAGAAGTTTACATTACCTCCTATATATGATTCTTTACATGGAGATGATGAGAAACTTGGGGAAGCGGTTTATTTCTGTTTACAACGGTTTGCGGAATACTACTCCAAGTATGATTTCCGAAGTGGAACAGTGAGTCTTATTCATCCACGTCGTCATCGTAGTGTATATGAACGTGTAGTTAAACGACATTTAGAATTATTGGGAGCGAGAAAGCGAATGGAGTGGGAAAAACATCTTGCCGAACACAGAGAAGATGGGGCATTTAATGAAAATGACTTTTCTGCGTCTATGCAGAATGAATCCACACAGCGGCCTATTAACACACCGTATGTAGTGGAGGATTTTGTGAATTATGTGAATTGCGGTCGTCGTGTGCAGGCCTCACGGGTACGGCATGTCCAACAGGAGTTTACACGACTGCGGGAGATGTTAATAGAGAAGGAGAGTGAATTGCGGTTTGAGGAAGTCTTTCGTGAGAGTGATGTGGTTCCACGATTTCATGGATTTGAAGGTGTGGGAACACGAGACCCACGTGTAAAGACATTCCGTGCACAATCATAATAAGAATACTAATCATAATAGTGATAATAGTGATAATGAGATCTCTCAGTGTGTTATTATTATTATTATATTGATTAATGGAGAGAGGAATTGGAGAAGAGTTGTGTAGTTGTGGTGGAAAGTGGGGTTGGTGAGTGTGTGTG